TCTATCTATCTATCTATCTATCTATCTATCTATCTATCTATCTATCTATCTACCTACCTACCTACCTACCTACCTACCTATCATTGAGTAAACTCATATGCTGCCCATCTCACTGTCGAATGAACTTAGTTGCTCACACAAGGATACCTGCCAAGTGGTATATTTATTCTATTTGGCGGCAAAAGTGTATGTTTGGGGAAAAAATGTTATATAATGACAGATTCCTCTAGGACAGGTGTGCAAAAATCTTTATAATGTAGTAGCTGATGATAAAATGGCATTGATGTGCATATAATATCAGGGATTGTACATTTCTCATGCCCCTAATGGAAGATAGAAGAAATGGAAAATGACATCATTATGTAAGAAGTTTTTTAGGGTCATAGAACTTGCCAAATACTGTAAATATTCTCAAATGTATGTTTGCACATTGTAGCTGTAATCCGTTTTCCCCAAACTCCTCCTAAATTGTAATCTCTGCTTAGGCGGTGGTTATTGAAACACCACTGAAGTTTCTTGGCCCATTCTCTCAGGAAAAGAATATTCTGGAATGCAGAGTCCAGAAATTGATGTATTGTTTTTTTTTTAAAAGAAAAAATATCATGAGAATATGTTTAACCTTTATTTTAACTGGCAGTTCTGAGAAGGAGACAGAAAGGATCACTTGAAGCAAATTAAACTGGCTTTAATCAACGTGCAAACTTGAAAGAAAGACTGCTACTCTCGGCCATGTTAGTTCAAAGATTCTGGAGAGCTATCAGAGCAAGACAAAGCTTGCTGCTATCAGCTCTCCTTTTTAAAAACTATGCAACTGAGCCGAAACATTTTGTAAATGCAAATGGCCCTGAGCCGTAGACTTCTGTTTTGCATTTGAATTAATTTCACAGAACATTTCCACATGTGGAAGCATTTTTTCTTCTCTCTTCTGGATTGTGTTTTGAGCACCTTTACTATTGTTGGAGAACAGAGGGTAAAATAGAAGACGGCTTTCAACTTTTAATTTTTTGGGATGGTGAGAGCTGCAAGATATATGGTTTTCTTGTGGTTTTTTTTTTCTTTCTTGGAGAGGGACATTTTCCTGTGGGAAGTCAGATGCTCTTCTCTGCAGTCTATGAGTTTTAGTCTTGGTAGAAAAGAATATTTGTAGCTCAGGGTTGAACTGTGGGGTCCTTGGTGCTCTCTGAGCTTGGCTGTTTTCTTGCAGACATTTAATGACCCAACTAAGTAACATCATCAGTGCTGCTGTGCTAACATAGCCTTCATATACCCTTTTATGTTGGTTGGGTACGTTTCCCCCCCATGTTAGCTATGTCTCAGTTTACCAATTTCATTTGCTGAGATGTAAGTGACTATATTAATTGTTAATGTACAACTGTGTTACAGTCTGCAACTCTAGCAGTTGTTTTTTGCAATTTCCGTGGCATGAAAAGCCATGCTCGTTTCTCTTGCTTCTGGACCTTCCTAAACATCATGCGAGCGCTCAAGTGGGGTTTTGAGCTTAGCGTGATGTTCAAACCACCCATGATAGCTTAGTGAGGGCAAGATTGATGTGGCTTTCTCAATCGTGGTTGAAAGAATCATGGTTTTGCAGTGTAAACCATCAGTGTTTCTCTAACCGCTAACCTTGGGGACCCCAGAGCAGGACGGAGCCCATTAAATGGCTTGTGTGATGTGTTGTCCCCAGAGTGAGGGGTGGGGAACTATTATATTATTTTATTATTTTATTATTTGATTATTGTATTTTATTAGTTTTATTTATATAAATATATATATGATGTTTTTATATCCCTGTAAGCCGCCTTGAGTCACCTTGTGCGAATAGGCGGCAATATAATTTTTCTAATCAATAAATAAAATAAATACATCCCAGAAGAGGTAGGAGACAAACCTACTTCAAAACAGTTGCATTTCAGCATCTTGAAATTACAAACTTGTGCTTGTGTCTTCTGGGTAGCATGTCCTGTGGAGGTCAGTGTGCCCAATTACTCCAAATTAATCTTGTAGAAGACTCTAGAAACCACTGCATTTTTCTGAAATATAATTCTAAATCTCTTATCTAATTTTTCTCGCTTTTTTTCTTCTTCCAGAGGAATATGAAAGTCTTTGTCCCAGTGGACCAGGAATTACAGCATCAGGAAATGGTAAGCTTACAGCTGAATTTCATTCAGAGTGGGTGTAAAGGAGTACGGGATGACATTTGCAAGAAATGCTCTAAAGAAAAGATAGATAAATGAATGTCCTGGTTGTTATCATCATCATCATTTAACGACCCCATAATCCCTTGCGGGATGGAGTCTGGGCAACTGAATGGAGCTAGCTGAGTGTTTTAATGGCCGGATGCCCTTCCTGTCACCAATGCGGAGTTTTGTTCAGCAGATATATTCTCAATGTGCCCAGAGAGAGAAATATCAGCCTCTATCCTAGGATCGAACTCACAGTCTCCTGATTGTGAGGCGAGAGCTCCACCTCTAGGTCACCCCACCATTTTTATGTCCTGGTTGTTATGATGGGTTAAAAAAAAATTACACATACCTGTTACTATTATTTTTTTGCAGATATCAATGAATGTGCATTGGATCCTGACATATGTCCCAATGGAAAATGTGAAAATCTGCGTGGAACATACAAATGCGTATGTAACATTGGATATGAGGTGGATTCAACTGGGAAAATCTGTTTAGGTATGACGTTTTCTGTATTTCTCTAATACTCCCCCAGATCGTAGCTCATCCTTTTTATATTAGTTTCAACTTATAGGTAGGGTTTACCATTTGCTTCTCTTATTTCTGCTTATCCTTTTAATTTTCTTCTCATCTTCCTGATCCCCTATGCTACGTTTTCCTTTGTTATCCGATTGCTTGATCCTTATTTGTTCATTGTACTTAGGGAGGTTATTTTTCTGGACAGTGAGAGCAATGGGGCTCAACTGGCTTTCCTGCCTTGAAGCACTTGCACAATGTCTTGTTTGATGAACAGAAGAACTAGGGGAGACAGGATAGCCTTGTTGCAATATCTCAGGGGCTGCCACACAAAGGAGAGGGAGTCAAGCTATTCTCCAAAGCACCTGAGGGCAGGACAAGAAGCAATGGGTGGAAACTAATCAAGGTCAGAAGCAACCTAGAATGAAGAAGAAATTTTCTGACCGTTAAAACAATTAATCAGCGGAACAGCTTGTCTCCAGAAGTTGTAAATGCTCCAACACTGGAGGCTTTTAAGAAGAGATTGGACCACCATTTGTCTGAAGTGGTGTAGGGTTTCCTGCCTAAGCAGCGGGTTGGACTAGAAGACCTCAAAGGTCCCTCCCAACTTTGTTATTCTGTTCCATTCCATTCTATTCTATTCTATTGCTGTGAGGCTCCAATGGGTAGTACAGCTGCTACCCATTTATTCATCACCCATTTAGTACCACCCAGGGAACATGTGTAGCTTAAGAAATGCCACGGACACGAGGCCACTGTTGCTTCTCAATAGTCTACATTGCTTCTCAATTTTTCTTTACCATGGATCCCCAAGACTTAAACCATAACATTTCTTAAAGCCTTTGTGACAACATCATGGGGTCCTCTGACCATATGTTCAGAACCACTGGTCTATGGTGTGGCCCCGTGCCCTGAAAAAGTTATCGGTTTTGAGCTAGACATTTTAAGAGAATTTTGGCGTGTCTTCTGCGACGGTGACTCAACTCCAGGATGAAATCTCCTCTAGTTTGGTTATATTGCCTTCCAGCAGGCCATGTTGATAAAATGCTGGATGCAGATAAAATATCGGGCTTAATAAAATCTGTTCTTAAGTATATATAATATATTTATATACTGTCACGTAATATAAGGTTCACCGGATCACTCTGGAGTTTTATGAGGGGTCTACACGGTACCACCCTCCCTATGAAGCTCTGTTGATTTCCCACGACTTCATCGCTTTATCTCGCGGGAGGAAATAGTTTGAAGAAGAAAAACATAGATTATCTTCATGACATCTTTGATGTGTCTTGAAATACCCCTTTTTCCTGGCCGTAGGCAGAAGGCTTGGAAACTCATTGTACAAAGCACAAAAACTGCAGATAGTTACTCCATTTCCATTGACTTTGATGTTAACCAAAACCTTCTTCATAATATTATATGGAAAAACGTTCCTATTAGGGAAGTCTATTGTTTTCCTTAAATAGACATTCATTTTACAGCTTCATATGAAAGAGACCCCACCCACCCCCCAAAAATAATCATTAGTGCCATCGAGGCATGTTATTTTCGCAGACGTTGCTGAATTATCTTGATTATTTTTGCAGACATTGATGAATGTGCCGTGAATAGGTTGCTCTGTGACAACGGACAGTGCAGGAACACACCTGGGAGTTTCACGTGCACCTGTCCCAAGGGATTTGTATTCAAACCTGACCTACAAACATGTGAAGGTAATGAAAAGACTCAATTTTTTCCCCTCAAAAGTTCTGCCTGGTTCTTAAAGCGGGGGGGGGGGGGGGTCAAATTTAGAGGCTACGATTACTCTTAATAGGATTATTTCATATTTGTGTAGGAATAATTCTGTTCGCTTTAACTCTGTTCACTTCATGCCTGGAGCATATTCCCTGTTCTAAAGTTTAAAATTAGGGAATTCAAGTACAGGTAGTCCTTGACTTACAACAGTTCACTTAGTGACTGTCCAAATTTACAACATCACTGAAAAAAGCGATTTATGGTGTTTTTTTCACTCTTACAACCGTTGCCGCATTGCCTTGGTCGCATGATCCAAATTCAAGTGGTTCATATTTTATGATGGTCGCAGCTTCCCAGGCTCATGTGATTCCCCTTTTTTTGTGGTCTGCCGGCAGCCTGCGGAGATGGCAGCAGAGTTGGACAGTGGAGAGGAGCATGGGTCAGTCCGGGAGTCTGGGGAGGACTTGGATAAGGGTTCTGCATCCAATGGGGCCATTGCCATCTGGGAGTTATGTGCTGACTCCAGAGCCTCCAGAATCTGACAGCAGCAAGGCAGAGGAACGGGGAACCTGTTACCAGTGCGCGCATGCGCAGAGCTGCCAGAAGGCAAGAACAGTTAAGACAAAAGGAGCAACTTGGGAGTAAGGCTTGGAGGTGATTAGCCCCTCCCATAAGAAAGGAGGAGCAAAGGGACATGAGCCTTTGCAGGAAGCAACTTTGATCATTCTGGTTGGTTTAAACCCTGAAGCTCTGTGTTGACTTTGTGCTCCATTTGGTCTTGTACAACTAATTGGCAATTTAGTCATTGGCAGCATTTCAAGAAAGATAAAGGTGTATTCTTATCAGACTTATCCCAAAGGACTTTGGCAGACTTCTGTGGGACTATTTAACAACTGCAGTGCTTCACTTAGTGGATGTAGCCAGAAAGGTTGTAACATAAATTCTGGGCTCAATTGTAAGTCGAGAACTACCTGTATTTTTGACCCAGTCGCTTTAATTCAGACCCCGGAATGAATGAAGCTAAGTTCATGGAGTTCTTCATTTGCAAGTTGCTCTTTCAATAAGTTGAAGACAGGTGTGACTGGCTTACGTGGAATAAATAGGTCCTTGCTATTGATTGGGTATCATAGGAGAAACACAGTGAATTTCTCCCAGCAGAATGCTGGAGGATCCGTGAAGAGCTGCCTGCAACCAGTGGTGGGATTCAAATAATTTAACCACTGGTTCTCTGCCCTAATGATTTCTTCCAGCAACCAGTTCACCAAACTGCTCAGAAAGGTAACAACCGGTTGTCCCGAAGTAGTGCGAACTGGCTGAATCCCACCACTGACTGCAACCATTTTGTGCCACACCATCCAAATGTCGGAATTCCATCTTCTCTGCTGAACAGGATACATATATTATTTTGAAATAATCAAAGCAGAGCACTCTCTGAACCTCTGTCCTCCTTTCCAGCCATTCAAATTTGCTTTTTGCTCTTCTAGATATCAACGAATGCGAATCCAGCCCCTGCATTAACGGAGTGTGTAAAAATACCCTGGGATCTTTCGTCTGTGAATGTTCTCCCGAAAGTAGTTTGGATACCACAAAAACCATCTGCATTGGTAATGTATTCTTCTGAGCGTATCCCTTTTTCGTCATCCGGTTTTTTAAGAGTGTCGTAATGGCACACCTGACCGGTTTTGGTCACGGTGAGGATAATTGAACTAGCATTTGCACATTGGAGAGGCATATAAGGGGTCCCTTGAGGGTACGTTCTGTTTATGGTGCTGTGTGTGTTTATTCCAACAGAGACAGTCAAAGGCACCTGTTGGCAGACCATCGTGAATGGGAGGTGTGAAATAAATATCAACGGGGCCACGTTGAAATCCCAGTGCTGTTCCTCGCTGGGTGCTGCTTGGGGCAGTCCCTGTGTCCCGTGCGAGAAAGGTGAGACTCGATGCAAAGCTTTATCTGTTGCAGTGGGGGAGAAACCTTCTGCGAGGAGGAGGAGGAGGAGGAAGTAATTCCCAAATCATGTCTCATCAACACATGGTTTGGGCAGAAGAATGCCAGAAAGTTGAACCTCTTAATCTGTTGTTCTGATCCAGCTCCCAAACATGACAAACCCTTCTGTAGTTTAAACCAATGATTCCTTTATTAGGAATCATTGGTTTAAACCAATGATTGGTTTTGTGGGGGCAAAAAGTCTGTCACAAAAAGTCTGTCTGTCTCTCACCGCAGGCTAACAAATCTGTCCAGCAGGGAGATGAATAGTTGTCTGTCACACCTATTCATCTCCTCCCCCTGCCTTTCATCCTCAGAGCTAGGGTGAGGGTTCACTAGCAGTGATGGCTCTTCCGTCCGAAGGACCGGCCCATAGATTTCCACTGCTCTCCTCTGCCTGCCACACCTATTCATCTCCTCCCCCACCTATTCATCTCCTCCCCCTGCCTTTCATCCCCAGAGCTAGGGTGAGGGTTCACTAGCAGTGGTGGCTCTTCCGTCCGAAGGAGCGGCCCATAGATTTCCACTGCTCTCCTCTCCTCTGCCTGCCACACATATTCATCTCCTCCCCCTGCCTTTCATCCCCAGAGCTAGGGTGAGGGTTGGTGGCTCTTCCGTCCGAAGGACCGGCCCATAGATTTCCACTGCTCTCCTCTCCTCTGCCTTCTGCGCATCCATGCATCAGGCACTGGACCCAACTGTTCCTCCTATTCCTCATCAGCCAGCTCCAGACCTGGGGGCTGTTGACTCTTCATCTGAGGGGTGATGGATGGCCTGGGCTTCACCTCTATCTCTATCTCTGTCAGCTCCATTCCCTCTTCCACCTTGGAGCTCTCAGATTGCCCTGATGCTGACCCTGACACCCATGCCTCTTCCTCCTCCTCTGATTCGGCTGCTGGAGGGGCCAGTGGCTGACAGGCCACAACATCTGGTCCCTTCCTTTTAGCTGTGAAATGAACTCCTTCAGTTAAAGGGAGATGGTTTTCAAGAATTCTTGACTTACAGATAGTCCTTCACCTACCACCATTTGTTTAGTGATGATCTGAAGTTACAACGGCACTGAAGACAGTGCCTTGTGACAGCTTTTCACACTTACGAGTGTTGCAGCGTCTGTCACACGATCAAAACTCAGACACTTGGCAACTGGCATGTACTTATGACAGTTGCAGTGTCCTGGGGTCGTGTGATCCCCTTTTGCGACCTTCTGACAAGCAAAGTCGATGGGGAGGAAGCCACATTAACCTAACGACTCTATTACTAACAGTATAACTGCAGTGATTCATTTAACAACTGTGGCCAGAAAGGTCATAAAATGGGGGTAAAACTCAGTTAACAACTGTCTTGCTTAGCAACAGAAATTTTTTGGCTCAAGTGGCGTCATAAGTCAAGGACTATCTGTGTTCTGAAGGTTATGCTATTTACTTATGAAATTTCTGCGCTGGCCATCTCACCTATGTGGTTCTGGTCAGTGTACAGCAACGTACAGGAATAAATAATATATAATTGATGGGTGGATTATGTGCCGTGAAATTGGGAACAATTCTTTAATTTACTTTACTTTATTGCCATTGCACCTCGTACAACAAAATCAAACACCATCTTCAGTGCACATGACCATGAAAAGAAACACAAACACGCATCCTTCACTCTCCACACATTGAACCGAAAACCCCCGACACCGCACCAACACTACACTATACAGCAGAATTCAAAAGAGCTACTGCCCTGGGATAGAAGCTGTTTTTCAGCCTATTTGTCCTTGTTTTTATTATTCTGTACCGTCTGCCAGATGGTAATAGTTAAAAAAAAAGGGTTCCTTGGCAACCAGAAAGGTAGACATATAGATATTCGTTAATATAATTAGAAGGAAATGTTTCTTACTTCAATGTTACATCATGCCTTGCAAGTACAGGGAATGTTCACTCAATTTTCTTCCAGATTGCTTAACAAACCACAGAGAGCTTCCCAGTAACAAACTTTACCACAGATTATTGTGAATAGTCTTTTTGTTGTTACTCCTTTAACTTGTGTGCAAGGATATAATGTAGACATTGCAATTCCATTATAATTAGAAACAATATCGTAGATTTTTCCAAGAAAACATTCTTAATACTGCCCTGATTATCACCGTTGGAGTACTTTGTTCCTCTTGTAACCCTTTTCCTTCCTTAAATCATTATTAATTGTAATTTAGCTGGAAGTGTTCATGCATAGAAGAGCTGTGTCATTTCTTCTCCAATTAAGTTCGTGTTCTGAGTGACATTGTTCTCATTTGCTTTAGATCCAATATGTTCAAGGGGATATTCAAGGATAAGAGGAAATCAGTGTGAAGGTATGTACTTATGAACCAGAATAACCCAATGTAGGCAATGGGAGATGATGATGATAATAATAATAATAATAATAATAATAATAATAATAATAATAATAATA